TCAAATTTCATCAACACTATTGTTTCGGCTAGTCTGCCAGTGAATTTAAACTATAACGAATGCTATACTCACAATATCTGAGAAAAAAAATCATATTCCTATCAATTTCATGCAGGTATATCTCGATGAAAATTTTTTAAAGTTTGCTAGGCCGATTGGTAAGTGGCGACCCTATGCTGATACCAAATGGTGGCAAATTCCAACTTTTCGATAGGGAATGGACTGTTGACCCTACACCCCAACATAAATGTCCAAATATCAAAAATGGAGGCAAGGGTCAGAGGAAACTCGGATTAGATCATAACGAGCGACTCGCTGATTTTAATCCAGCGAGTCCATGTAATTAAATTAATGATAGGTATTTTACCGACATCAGTATCGGTTTCCTTTATGAACTGATTAAATGACAGTAATGATTCTTTAATTTATAATTGATTATACATATGATTAACTTCTTTGTTAATGAGCAGTTTCAGTTCATATTTAAAAGAGAAATTTGATGTTAAGTACATACATTTCATCAAATCTTGTTAAGTAATTACTATTTTGGGAACAGTGAAAAGTAAGGTGGGACTAGTGAAAATAAAAGTGGGACTAGTGAATTTTCTGAAATTACTTGTCCTGGACTAGTTCTTTAAAAAAAAATTGTGCTCAGCCCTGACTGCTGTGAAATTTCATATCTGCTGTAAAACTTCAGATGTCTCAGTCATTTGTTTGTATACAATAATTATAGTTAAGTAACATATAGTATAGCTATAGTAAATATTGTTCAGTATAATTATTATTGATCATAGACAAGGAGAACTTATGGGATGACTTGTCCAATGTCTATCAACCATCCTTCTGCTAATTAGCACAAGTTGATTATCACTACTACGAAATTCCTAGGAGATTGATGTAAAACTATGCACACACATGCATTCCAAAATCTAGGTGGTCCTAAATGTTGCACAGACATATAGTGTGGCATCTTGAAAATCTTGGTATCACAATTTCTGAATGGAAGGTAATGTCAAAAAAGAGTTTTCATTTAAAGACTTCTTAAGAATTATGTTTGGTCGTAAATGGTGTGAATCTGATGTCAGACATATTGAAAATATTGTTTTTGCTACTCCTGAACTAAAAGTCATTGCTATGGGATTTTCACCAGAAGATGTCTTATAAAATCTTGTAGGTCCTAAATGTAAATGGTGCCAATCATGCATCTAGTATGGCTACTGTGGCAACCATCTTTACAATCTTGTTATTGCTTTTCCTAGATGAAAAGTCGTATTGATATGTTGTATTGATCAGAATAATTATGACAACAAAAATATTTAAAATCTTGTCACTACTTCTTGTAAATGGATGGCCATATCAATTTGGGGTTTTCACCAAAAAGTCTTCTAATAGCATTTATTTTGTCCTAAATGAAGATGGTGACAATCTTGTAGCTAAGATGTTAATTTGAAAATTATATGAATATAGGAAATGGTGTCAACACTCTGAAATTAATAGAATAAATATTATCTTGAACATTTTGGATCCAATTAACCAGCAATGATTATGAGCTATATGGCTGTGAATAGTGATTACTATGTCTTTAACATACTAGGTAGGTAAAATGGCAATTGAAAATCTTTTTCTGAATTTGATTCTGTCTGGGCAATTTTTAAATCACTTAAAAAAATTCTTGAATAATATTATCTAATAGTAACTTTTACAAAAGATGTTATTTCTAATTATTTTCACTTAAGTGATGTTTGTATGACCTGTAGTTTAAAACATGACCTGAAAAATACTAATAGTTTGTGAATATTGTACATGTATATCTTTATATATTTAGTATTTATAATATTATAGTCATGGAAATTTAAATATTGTTATATGGAGATTTATGTTTTATTATGCATTTATGTAGCACACTAAACCAGTAAAATGTACATTACATATACATATATATCTTTTTAAATCCTGCTATATATTGAGATACTGTTTGAGCTGTTGATGCTCTGCCTACAAATATGCAAGGGTATATAATATTACTTTTTTTGTCTGTCCATCCATCATGACTAGGAAATTTTGTTTTTGGGTCATTTTCACAAGCATTGTTCATTGCAGAAAGTTTTTATTGTCTCTTCACAATTGTTATATACAGTTTATTCCTAAAAACTATTTGACCCATTTGCATATGATTGAACAGTGACCATTATAGAATCAAGGATTCTCAGATTTGTTCAAATAATGATTATCCATTATTCAATATGGCTGCCATTACTAAAAATTGATAAAACTAATCAAAACCTGCTGAAGCAAAATTTGACCAAATTGGATAAACTCGCATGAAGGACTTTATAATATGTTCATATGATGATTATAAGCTATTAAATATGGCTACCATACTAAAAATAGAAAAGCCATGTAAATGGCTTTTTATACAAAAGAGCTCAACAAAATTCGATCAATTTTGACATTGTTCTAGCATAAATGCATCTCATATTTACACAACTGATTCTGATCCATTATCTGTCATGATTGCTGTTACTGACCAGAATGTAATCAGTAATTAGATACGATGCTCAAAGAAACATTGTTTTTAGACACAGACCCCGGGCTAGTCACTTAAATAAACTCCAAGTCCTGACTGAATTTCCACAAGCCTAGACTCCAGTTTAAACGTGCCCAGCATTTAAATTTTTTTTTTAAATTTTGTCGAACAATGTTATAATAACTACAATTCGAAAATAAATTCAATAGGGTTTAAAGTGGTTTTATGATAATACAAGTGCCATTAGTGCTTTACAAAGTAAAAGTCCATCAGCAAAGGGTTCTGGAATTTTTTTTTGTTAGGTATTGCTGATAGCTAATAACTTTTTAAATTGGCTTCAGAAATGAATTAAACTTGAACTGAAATGATCATGCATTGCATTTTGTATACACCACTCCCTCGATAACTCACGAACCCACTTAAAATGCATGGTCAGGCATGAACCCCATTTTTTTTAAACCAGAAAATATCCCCCCCCATTTTTTTATCCTAGTTCTTAATCTTGAAAAAAAAATCGCAATCAAAATTGGTAAAAGAAATGTTGATATATCACTTGCTTTATGGTCAAAAATGGTAGATAGGACCTGGAAATTTTAATCGGCATTTTGAAATTATCAGCTTGTAATAACAGGTCATATAATTGGTTACATTTTCTTTCCAAGTGACATTCTTAGTACACAATAATTAAAAATATTAAGGAAATTCTGATCAATGAAAATATCACTTTTACCTAGTGTAGATGGTACATTAATATCCAAATGCCAACTAAATTTTTTTTATTAAGTGAAATTTGTGTTTTAATGCTATCTTTTTTTTCCATTTAAGTGTAATCATAATAAATGCAATGGGGGGCTCCAAGTGGCTTAATGGTCTGAAGCGCTGTCCATTACGGATCACTGCCATCTTACCTGTGTTGGTTCGAATCTAGGATTCGGCGAATGTGGGTATGTGAGAAAACTTGCCAGTAGCTTCTCATGGGTCGGTGGTTCATTCCAGTGATTTCCCAGGTTTCTTCCTTCACTATTAATACTCTCTGCCATTTATAGCCTATCTTGTGCTGAAAAATGGCGTTAAGCCCTACAACAACAACAACAACAACATAAATGCAATGTGTATTAAAACGTAAAATATGTCAATGGACCATAACAGCTATGTCTGCAAGCATTTCTCTGAGAACCTAATTAAGTGCAGACAGTGTTTTGATAACTGACTTGTGGAAGTATTTGTTGTATTGTTATACTGAATTAAAAGCTGACCTCCTTTGTATTATCATGTTAATTATTTCTTTTGAATCAAATAAGGGAGGTGGGGACAAAAGTTAAAAGGCATGCAAATCCATCATACTTAAAATCTATCAGCCCTGGCCCTGGTCGTATGTAGGGTGAACTCACTTCATTTGATCAGTTGAACACCTATATATGTTCTTGTATATGTCACATAAACTACCTTAAATTAACCCATTCATTCATAACTGTGCTCAAAGATAGCAAGGCAACCAAGCAAAAGGAATACTTTGCAAAATAAAGCGCTTAGTTTCACAGATACAGATCATTGTGGCAAAAGCACGTTATTAACAATTATTATAAACATGATTGTAAAAAAGTATTCAGTTTTTAAACAGCCTAATATCTTACCCTATCCCTCTTCCCAGTTTTCTTGATGTGTAAATGGATTTTTTCACATTCTGGAGGTCCCTTGGTAACTCACACCTTTGCTTATAGTGCGGTCTATGTTTGTGGACCCCGTTGTGATAGAGTTATGAAGAGAGAGGTGTATGCAGTAACATTTAACTTCATAGAACCCTTGCTACTATTCACAAACTTGTCAAAAATATAATACACATGGCTTCAACATTCAATATGGTTCAATTGGATTAAATTCAGATCTCAGTTTCACGAAGGATAGTGGTGATCTGATTTAGATTGCTTTGTGTTATGGCAGTTATATCTACCTTGTGAAAATACATTAACACATTTCATAAGCACGATCAAAGCTTACTCAAAATTTTTTCCAACAAGCTTAGAATACATGATAGGCCCAATCTTAAATCCAGGCATCAGGCTATCAGATTTTTGGAGCTCTGTCAGATAGTTTGAGTCTACAGATTTCAGCAGTCACCAGCAGCCACTTTAAATGTTAAATTCAGACTTGTGATCCTGACAGCAAAAAGTTGCCCCAGTGACGGTATGAGAGACATTAAATAATTTTTTAATAATATTGTATCAATGTATGACTTGATAAAAACCTGGATTCATTTGTCTATTTTTGTAATCATTGTTCATTAAATTTGCCTTTTCATCATTTTTCATCACTTGAAGCCAGATTTTAATGAGTGAAAGTCGTAGGCTTTGAGTAAGCTTAGATTAATAGCTAGTAGAAGCACATCATGAATTACCATAGTTACTTCAGCAGTGGTTTCACATCAAATGCATGCATTCCCCTCATTTAATTTATATACTAGTTAATGTTAACCGCTTCTGTGACCTAGTGGTTAGAGCGTTTGCCTTGTATGCGGGAGGTCTTGGGTTCAATCCCCGGTTTAGTCATAGCAAAGAATTACAAAAATGGTACTAACAGTTGCCTCACTTGACACTCAGCATTAAGAGGTTAGTGTTAGGCCTGGTGTCAAAATAATGTGACTAGGTGTGACATCTTACTACATGTCTGTGGCATGATGCCCCATTGCTAGACATCACTATAAACTGCCACACTAAAGACATTGTAGCGATATGACTGAGAAATTGTTAAAGCTACATTAAAAATCATAATCATAATACTAGTTAGTATGTAGATTACACAGTTTAACTGTCGTGGGTAACCTATTGAGTATATACACTCACTATAGTTAAGACGGAAAGTTTTTAAAAAAGTTGAAAAAATGTATTCATTCCTACTTTCAACTAAACGGGACAAGACACAGCCTTTTGGTGCAGGTTAGGATGTACATAATGTGGAAAAAATCTATATAGCCATAAGCAAAATACAAATGCTTATTTTATTTTAGTAAAGTATAAATGTAGGTCAGAGGGTAGAGTTCTAACATTTGATCAAAATTGTATTGTGTCCTGATTCAAACATAAACAGTACCCAAGACCATTACAAAATTTTAGCAAAGTCACTGAAGCGTAATGTTTATACCTATAGCTGTTTTAGCAATAAGTTCTTATCATGATGCATTCACTCACCAACTTTCATGATTCTAGGTAGGATTGTATGCAAAAAGCATGCTAAACACTTTTTCAAAGTCTGTAAGGGATCATCCATAAAGGATGTCCACAAAGATGTGGGGAGGGGGAGTTTGTTTAAATGCAGACAATGGTGGAGGGGTTAAAGGACCTTGCAGACATCTGCAAGATAGTATTTTTTTATGATATTCTGTGTTGAACCCCTCCTTTAGGCCTTCTGTGTGTATTCCAGTATGTTATGCGGACATCATTTATGGGTGATTCCAAAGTATAAATTAATTGTTAATTTCAATTTGTACAATTCGTGCCACAGAATATATATGAATGAACCAGAGTGTATAATGCTATATGGGGACATCCACAGCCAAGAGGAGAGGGGGGAGTTCTGCAGACGTCCTTTATGGATATTCCCTTAAAGATAAAAAATATGTCATGATGAGCTTATGGTGTGGTAGTAAAAGAGATGCATATCAGTGACAGTTTCATGATTATTGCATAAACAGTACTTGGGAACTGAACATTAGATACAAAATTTAACCCATCAGTAAAGCCTAAAATATTGGCTATAATGACCTTTTTATGCAATGAGAAAGTAGTGTACATCATAATGCATCCTGTCATCAAGTTTCATGATTAGAACAGTATGTACATAGCAAATAAAGTCTATGTAGTCACTATATAACAAAACTTAAGCCAAAAATTATATAGGTCACATTGACATTATTGCATGGGTGTAGAACCAATGATCTAATTTGATGATTTCAGTATTTACAGTGCAAACACAATTTAGCTGAAGTTAACAAAAGCATGAAATTTGGATCCCAGTGAACTACTTCAGTGAAGAAGTACTGATCAAAATGCAATTCCTTACCAAGTTCCATGATTCCAGGTATATTGAATGTATACAGAGGCATAGAAACATTTAGTCACAAGCTAAATGCAAAACTTTGCATACCATCAGCATAAAATAGATTAGTATCCGATACCATCAGCATAAAAAGATTAGTATCCGATACCATCAGCATAAAATAGATTAATATCCGATACCATCAGCATAAAATAGATTACTATCCGATACCATCAGCATAAAATAGATTAATATCCGATACCATCAGCATAAAATAGATTACTATCCGATACCATCAGCATAAAATAGATTACTATCCGATACCATTAGCATAAAATAGATTACTATCCGATACCATCAGCATAAAATAGATTACTCTCCGATACCATCAGCATAAAATAGATTACTATCCGATACCATCAGCATAAAATAGATTAATATTCGATACCATCAGCATAAAATAGATTACTATCCGATACCATCAGCATAAAATAGATTACTATCCGATACCATCAGCATAAAATAGATTAATATCCGATACCATCAGCATAAAATAGATTACTCTCCGATACCATCAGCATAAAATAGATTAGTATCCAATACCATCAGCATAAAATAGATTACTATCCGATACCATCAGCATAAAATAGATTAGTATCCGATACCATCAGCATAAAATAGATTAGTTTTATGGGACCATCTAGGTTATGGTCTTTCACTAACTGATAAATATAAACTCAAACAATGTAGGTGTTGCATGCAATCAAGGCTTATGACTACAAAACAACTAATATTAATAATTAGTAGTAACAAAAATATTTCATTGAAGCAAATTATGAAAATGTTTAATACAAATAAGTAACAAATTATATGATAAAAAGCCTTGGACTTATAAGACCTAAGTTTAAACAATAAATAAAGTTCATGAATAAGCTAAGTTAGACACAGACTTTTGTTCAATTACCAATTCTTTTCCTCTTCAAGACCCTACTCGTCCTCCACCTCACACACTACAATAAATGCAAAACTGCCTTGACCATATTTATCCTAGGCAACCATAATTCTACTATCCACTAAATTGTTTTATAAATTCCTTGTCCGAAATATTCTTACCATCCACAGAATTTTATGCCTTCAGAATAAGTAGAATAGATCCTTGAAAATTGGGAATCAATATATGTTTTAAAACTAATATTTTTCTCTAGATTTTAACAATTCTATTTTTTCTTCATCTGAAAATGTAGGCTAAGCTATTTGTAGGCCCAAGTGCATAATTTATTCATCCCATAAAATATATTTTGTAAATAAGTAAAATGATAAAGGAATGAACTTTCAAAAATAAAATAAAATATACCACCAACTCTTAGGTTATTACAGTATATGCTTAACACAAGTGAAGCAACTAGGCTAATACTCTGTATCCTCATCAATTAAAAACTAGTAAATTCTAAATAATAAATATTGAGCAAAATGCAATAAACAATTATTAATACACAGCAAGAGATATACAACATAAATAAACAGCATGCATTAAACAATTAACTGAACATTTGACAAAAAGAAGTTGTGCCTCCCAGCTTTTTTTGTGAATCTAGAGAAGGAGCATTGAGCCAGTCACCAAACAATTTTATATTTATTAATTTAAAATAAAACACCTACTAAACAATAATCAAAGCTTTCATAACAAAATGTGGAAAATGAGGGAAAATAATACTGAGCAAGGAATATACATGTAGTGGTAAATAAATCAATTGCTAGGAGTGCTAATTACATTGTTAAAATATTTAAGCAAGATTTAATTTGTATTGTTAAAACATTTAATCAAGATATAATTTATATTGTGTTCTTCTCTTCTGATGCATTTGATCACTTTAGTTCTTTTTGTTTTTCATTTTGATGGCATTTGGACATTTTTAAACCTGTTTTCATTATAGCTATTATGCCTTGTACTTGACCAGTTAAACTATTTTTGATTTTTTTAAAATCAAATATGCAAGCAAGGCATGAGGAACTTTTTGTATCAACACCTTCAGGCTGTGCAAAATTTAGTCAAATTAACATGATGGAATACTGAATATGGTTCACCTAGTTTCTAACTTTATATTTGACTTCAGTGACTCTAGTTAAGCGGGATATTGGAAGGGGGTCATCTTTGAGTTGTCTATTTGTGTATTATTTTCTCCAGTTTTTACATAAGTTCTGATTTTGTGTACTTTTAAAAAAAACAACAAACACATGCCTTATACCAAGTCTTACCATATCTCTTTGGGTAGATTGTACTATTTTTAAATATTATTTATATTATTATTTATATTATTTTTTATATATTATTTAATTTGTTTAATTAAATTTCAGGAGAGGGTAACTTTACAAATTAAGAATGGGTATATTGTACTCTTTTCTATTACTAACTTTAGACCAAACAATCGTAACAATATTTCATAAACTAGTAGGCCTACAAGCGTTTAAATAACTTTAAATGGATAAATGATCAAGGATTTGGATGGGTAGAATAAATTCTGCTCTAAATTCGTGACAATAGTAATGCTGTTGTATATAAGAAGTGGACTATTACATCTGCACACTCATATCAGGGACTGTCCGATGGATCCGGAGAAATTAGTACGAGACGAAAATGATTCATCAGAATTGCAAACTAAATTGGTTAAATAAAATTAAAGGTGTAGTACCTGGTGTGCTAATAGTATTATTTACAATTAAAAAAAAATGCGATGCCCTACAAACTTTTCACTGGTAATTAAGACAAAAACAGCAGCCATTGCTAAAATAATAAAGAGAACTGAATATGAGCCTAAAACAAAACACTGACACTGATCTGTAGAAAGATGTTTAAATTTACGAATAATGCTCAATTCAGTAAGCAGATGGAGAATTTAAGAACCAAAAACATCAAAAATGTGCAGATGAAAATATTTATTTTCAAATGCTAAAAACTTGTATCATTTTCAAAAAGGACAATAAAATGGAGACATTTGGTGCTAATCGGTCTGAAAAGCAAGAACTATGAAAACTTATCTATGGTTGTATTGTCATAGAACTGTTAAACATTTTTGATGCATAAACTTTGCAGCAAGTTGAAAAAAAAGAGCTTGACACTGATATGGTTTAACAAAATTATACTACTTGCACCAGATACAGAATTATTGTGCACCTATTATGAGAAAAGGAAAAATAAATTTTAAAGTTACATAAGGCATGATATTGCTTTCTATGGTAATCCAGTCAGAAAGTTTTGTGATTTCAGATAAAAATAGTGTTCGTTTAAAACGGAAGAAGAAAACCAGAAAATATCCAAAACTGTACAAAATGTGTGGTACAAAATAATGAAGACTTGTATTTACAAAGGCTATTTACAAATTGAACGTAAGTTATAAAGATTTTACATGTTCCTTCATCACCACCGGACCAGATGTATGGGGCATTGCCTTAAGGTTGTTTGCCGTCCTGAGTTTTATTTATGTTCCTTTATTTAGACGCAACACAACGCACACACAAACA